GTGTGTGCATACATATATATATGAATAAACATAAACAGGAGGATATGAAAGAAAAATTTTCAAAGATTAAAACACTATCATAACATTTACTCACTGAACATTTCTTTTCCTTTTCTTTTTCCTTAGTGTTTTCTTTCTCATCATTCTTGGAGATACTTCAAAACATAAAAGATTCCCTCCCTGTTGTCTCCCAACCATGATTCTCTTCTGAAGAATAAAATTATAAATTCTAAAAGAATTTACAACATTATATAAGTATGCATTCTTTCCTTATTAGGATTGTAGCCTAAAACATCTTAGAGAAAAGAAATCTTAAGAAGAGATTTTATAATGTCCCTCCATAATCTATTCCAATATCTAAAACACTGTCAGGGCTGGAAGTTTCTGTTAGTGTTTAACGTGAACTTTTTATCATTCTTTTACTTCCCCCCCCTTTCTTTTTTTAAATTTTATACTGATTTATTTATAAAGTTTGAATACATAGTTTTTCACATTATCTTTCCCATGCCCTTCACCCCAAATACTAATCAAATTTTGCAATCCTATGATTAACACCTCCCTGCCCATCCTCACCCCTCTGTTTCCACCCCCTCCCCTTGGATCCTCATACTCATCCTACAATAATGGTTTATACAGTATTTGTCCTTATGGAACTAAGTTAATTCAATCAGCATAATGCTCTCAAGTCCTTTCCAACTTAGGTATTAATTTATAAAATCATTGCTCTTGCATGCTGTGTAGTATTCCATGGTGTGAATGGAACACAATTTCTCAATCCATTCATTTGGGGCTGGGCATATGGGTTGTTTCCATGTTCTTGCAATGGTGAATAATGCTGCTATGAACATTGGTGTCCAAGTCTCCATTTGAGCTTCAGTTCTCATTTTTTCAGGGTATGGTTGAAGCAATGAAATATCTGGGTCATAAGGAATTTCTAAGTTCAGCTTTTTGAGGAAGTGTCAAACTGCCTTCCAGAGTGGTTGTACCATTTTAAAATCCCACAATGTATAAGAGTTCCTATCTTTCCACAGCTTCTCCAACATTTATTCCTTACTGTCCTGTTAAACTTTGCCACTGCTATTGGAATGAGATCTTGTTGGGGTTTTGATTTGCATCTCTCTTATTGCCAGTGATTTTGAGAATTTCTTCATGTGTCCGTTAGCCGTTCTAAAATCTTCCTCTGTGAAGAGTCTTTCCATGTCTTTTGCCCATTTTGTAATTATCAGGCCTTTTCTTCTGGAGGCTCAGGAGTGCTCTATAAACTTTTGTTGTGAGACTTTCATCTGAGATGACATTTTTGTTTTGGGGGTTTTTTATTAGTTTTTTAAACTGTTTTGCCTAGAAGTTCAGAATCCGCTCAACCTCCAGAGAAAGAGATAGCATTACAAATGGATTCATTTAAATTTTCAAGTATTCTCTATGTTTGTGCTTAAGCCTTTCTCTGTGAGCAATTCCTTAGACTTTAGGGTGGATGTTAAGAGGAATTAGTGTCATGACACAACCTGACACTTAGAAACTGGTGTTACCTTTCTTGGAGTAAATAGTATTCTGGCCCAATTTGATGGGGGTTACAGCACAGTAGAAAGAATACAGATATTATTACTACAGCTACTACTACTATTGGTCATTGCCATCAAGTTTCCTGAAACTGTAAATAAATCACACGGGTGGAAATTGACCAAGGGGCCACTGGTGAATTCAAACAGGCAGAGGTCCATCATCTTTAGTGAAGTAGTGCAACTCTCTACAGACTTTGCCACCCAAGCACCCTTAGGGAGGTGCGTGATGACTCACTGACTCATTGTCTCCAAGTTGGTGATCGCGCATAGCTGCCCCTCTAAATCAGGGGTGTTCAGGTTTAAATTGCACAGGAGGAGATTACCCATCCTTCTACCCTGGAGCATTTGTTTGGTTTAAAGTACTCGCCTATGAGTTGGTCCCATTAACTCCTTACCAATCAGGCCACCACAGGGAGACACAGCACTGACAAAGGGTGGGAATCCCTTCCTGTAGTTACCTTCGCTAAACTAAAACTTCCAATTGTAAACATCTGGTGACCTCGAAAGAAACCTGAATTCACATCTGGAAATATGTAACTATTGAAAGAAGTGCAATCCTTGAATAAAGAGAAGACAAGACTAAAGGGAACTAAATGCCCTTCGGGATTCCTTGGGAGAGCCTCACCTCATCCAAGAGGAAGGGTGTAGGCTTGGTTTGAAAATATACTGTAAGCTATCAGGTGAGCTCTGGTGGCCTAGTGACAAGAAGCTGTTCTGTAATCGCAGAGGTGCGTGGTTCAAATCCACCAGATGCTCTGCTGGAGAAGGAAGGACGATCTCCTCCTGTATCAGTCAGATCCGATTTGATGGTACACACACAAAAAAAACATTAACAAAATTTTAAAAAAAGAAAATATAATGTAAGCTATCAAGCCTTTTTGTGCTGTTCTTAGCAAGTTTAATTTTAAAATTATTAACACTTACAGAGCATGCCCATTCTGTTGATGACAGAGCACTATCAGTACTTTCCAGACTCCCCTGCGGGTCTCCCTCTTGCCAGCAATTACACCAGGCTGTAATTACTCGCCTGGTGATAGTTGAAACCCCTTGACCTTCCCTATGAGATTATTAAAAGAAAACTAGCCTTCACACTTTAGTTCTTTCTACTTTTTAACTTTTCTATCTTCTAGTTATTAGAGCTTCTTTCAGATCAAGCCATCTGGAATTGTCAGCATTCAACCTTTTTGACCTATAAAACCAGCAATTTCACATGATTTAACCAAGACATACTGTGGAAATAGTTTTCATTGCCATCTAAGTGACCTTTATATCTTGTAAATAGTTACAATTTGGCTTCAAATTTTTCTAGAAGTAAAACCTAAGGAAGGATTTAAGACTATCGGCAGCTCATAATTGGTGTTTTAGTGCCATCTACTGGCACAATCTGTAATACAA